ATTTATTCAGCTTGGTGTCTACCTAATTTCACTACCTTCTTAGGAGCAACATTATCTAGACAAAGGGTGGCATTCCTTTAAAATAAGGACTTTACAGGAAGTCAGTGGTAAAATAGTCGTCCCAGTGACAGAGTCGAATGAGTTCTTGGGCTAATCCCCAGTCTGTATATTTGTAACTACTACATATCATGCTCCCTGAATCTTGTTTGTTTCCTGTATTTAGTGGTGAGAAAGGCAGAGAGCAGAGTACCATTCTATGGTCACTACTGGAAAATCTGTTATCAACATAGGTGGATACTGGGATTGTGTCATGGCAAAACACAAGGTGCAACATTTTTTCACCACGGGTGGGTGTCTGGGCGTGTTAATGCTATCCATAACAATCGATAGTGGCAAGTAATTCGTCGAGGCGTTGGGGGCCGGAACTACTTAACCAGTTGATGTCTTGAAGACTGAAGTCCCCTGTAATTATTCTGCAATTAATACAGAACGAGTAGGCGTATGCAAGCGATTTGGCTGATAACGCATCAGTTTCTTTGGTTGAGCATGGTGTTAGATAATCACAGCCTGTGAGAAGTTTGTACTTATCTCCATGTAAGACGACTCAGAGTGAATTAGCATTCATTCAGTATTTCATCTTCCACTTTACTGACTACAAATGAGTTATATGTATGTCACCAGGCTCTGCTGAAGAAGCTGAAAGAATATTGTAACTGGATCAAGTATAAGCTATCGACAGAAGCTCCAGTATAATTGTGAGACACGATAAGTCATGGGCTTAGAGACAAATGGCGAGGGAGTCACCGGAACCAATGTACTCTACCTCCATGGTCGTACAGGGTGTTCCGGAGCTGGAAACTGGCACTGCTTGTGAAAAATACATGCATGTCGTACAGCAGTGGAGATGGCCGTCATCTCAGATGGCGTTGGATGCCTCTGGAGCAATCTCGATTTTCCGGCCACCTCGTCCCAATCATCTCACATTGATTGGCTTCTCAAGGCTGCTGAGTGTAAAATACAACTCCTAGGAACAGTTGGCTGTACTACTTCAATGGTGGTACGAGACTGAGGGTGAAATGGCAGGACACATCCTACGCCGCGAAAGCAAACTTCGAACCATAAGGAGGCAGCAAACTGAGGTCATAATACGTCCTCAAACCTCAGTCGCAATACGGCGATGTGGTACTGATAATGACAGTCAGTGTCATCCAAGTATCCCACCTGAATCCCAGAAAAAACGGCAACACACTGGTTCCATAGGAATCGGCCAACTAGTTCCAATATTGCGTCCTCTACCAGCAGACGACGTAGCATCAACTACCCCACAACATGCTGGGGTGGTGAGACTCACTGTCAGCTGCCCTTACATCAAAGTGAGAGGGCTGAGGGGAAAAGTAGATGAACTCAGAAACCTCCAGTAACGTCCACACCTTAAAACAATAATGCTGACTGAAAGTTGGCTAACACCCACTATCCGTCACGACGAAATCAGTATAAGTGATGTGATTCTGGTCAGGAGAGAAAGGAACAACAAGGAAAGGATGGGAGTTCGCCATCTACTTTGACAAGCAGCTTTAATGCACACGTGGAACGGATCCCCCACTTACTATAATAATAATATCTTATATTTCTAATAAATAGGTGTTTACTGAACTCCCAGACTCCATATGGTGTCATTTCACCGTAGGCCACACCAAGCATTTACTGGGCGGCATCTACCGATCACCCGCCTGTGGAGCAGACCCAAACCAGCTGCTGCTCAGCACCATGACACGGATACAGGACTTGAGCCATAACCAAATCACCGTAGCTGGAAATTTCAATGCCCCATCCATGGACGCTCAGGGAAAATTCAGTCGAAATCTGTTACCAGCCATTAGAAATACAGGACTGGCTGAGAATGTTGGATATGGCACTAGGTGGGATCCTAGTGGAAAGTCATCGAAACTAGATTATATTCTAACTAGTGACCAACTACTTGTCGAAAATGTTCACATCATGACTCCACTAGGAAGTAATGACCATGCAGTCATAGGATTTGCTCTTGTTCTCCCTGAGCGCTTACAGTAGGATGCTGAGCGACCATGTCTGTGCTACAACAAAGCTGGCTATGCTGGAATGCTGAGGCTTTTTGACGCAGAATGACCTATAGAATGGGCTGAGTTATCTTTGGATGAACACTGGGAAGTGGTAGAAGAGATTATTCACGAAGCAATCTCAGATACCGTCCCTTCAGTCACAACACAGCCGAAGAAAATGTCCTCATGTCTGAAGAGAGGTATGCAACGTATTCGGCAAGCAAAGCAGAGGACTGAGTCTGCATGGCAAGTCTCTAGGTGTCAGACCAAACATAATGCATACCTGGACCTCAGAAACCGGTGCAATGCAAGAGTCAGGAGTGACAGGAGGTCATTTCAGGCTAACCTCGCCAAAAACTCCTGGAGAACTCCAAAAGCCTCTACCGATCCATGCTGGAGAGCAAACCAATCAACCTGTGGGAATGTGCCATAGTAGGCCCAAACGGTCAATACCTCTTTAGCCTGGGAATAGCTGAAACGTTCAGTTCGGTCTTCGCCAAATAGTTAAATACCAATATGGGTATTACTGGTACGAAACAAAATGGCGGCACTACTGCTTCATTGGAGAAAGTCCTAGTAGCTACTCCCTAAATAAACCCGGCAATAGTACTAGGGAAGCTACGGAGACTCAAATCTTAAAATTCCCCAGGTGGTGGCGACATCAGGCTGTGTTGTGAAACAGTGTGCCGGAGATCTGTGTAGGCCTTTATGCGGCCAGTTCCATTACTCTATTTATTCACGGAAACGGCCAAGGGAGTGGAGAAGAGCCGTCCTTTCTCCGACTTTCGAGGGTGAGGACAGTCAAAAAGCCGCCAGTTATAGACCATTAGAGCTACTCCCAGTGGTATCACTGGCACTGGAAAGTACAATTGATGATCACATCAGGAAGCACCTCGACAGGACTAATACACTCCATGAAGCACAACATGGTTTCAGGTTAGGCGGATCCTGTGTGACAAACCCACTATCAGCACGGGACGATTGGAAATAATGGTAGAATATTAATATTTCAATCCATGTGGTCTTCCTAGACTTTGAGAAAGCATTTGCCACAGTTCATCATGACCTCCGCCTACGAAAAATAAGTCAGGGAAGTAAGGGCAAGCCACTTCTATCATGGTTAAAGGACTGCCTAGCTGAAAGGAAATTCTGTACTAAGGTCAATCGAGTCCGATCATCCTGACACAGCTCATCACCAGGAGTATCGCAGGGCTCTATCCTAGGGCCACTGATGGTCTTGATTTTTATCAGTGACCTACTTTGTCGTCTAAGCTGCCCGACTCGTTTATACGCTGATGACATAAAGATTTGGAGAGCAGTAAAGTGTTAGGAAGACTCATATAGTCTGCAGGCAGACCTAAAGCTTCTGGAAGACTGGGCGGTGGCGAATAGTATGACTTTCAACTTGAAAAACTGCAAAGTAGTGAAATTAGGCACCTGTAGGCGGCAGAATACGAGTTACATCCTGCGCAACGAAAGTTTGTCCTGCACAACATCGGAGTGTGACTTAGGCCTGGTTCTAACGGGAAAAATAGACACAAGCTGGAACTACCCGGGGGATGTAGCAAGGGCATATGCGGTCATGCACTTCACACATAGACAGTTAGGTTCACTCACCCCCGAGGTCTTTCCAAGGTGGTACAAAACATACGTCAGACCACACTTTGAAGTGCAGAGTGGGGTTTAATTACTAACCATTACTAACAAATGACCAGAATCACCCAAAAAAAGTGCTCTGCCATTGGATGCGTATGGACATCCTCGTTGAAATCCCCGAGGGATAGCTCACAGAAGGGCAAAGACTCAAATGCGCTCCCATTTCTTTTCACTGCAGGTTTTTCGTTCCTGGAACTCTTCACCGGCAGATGAGGCTGAAGTGCTGGATTCTCATATAGTGATACAACGACTGCGTCCAAACAGCCTGTTCCCTTAAAATCCCATTAATGGGTAGATATCTAAACTCATCGTTTTACTTCTTTACATTGTCTTCTGTCTTACTCTCCTGACTACTCCAACTACTACACTTACACTAATTATTATTGATATTATATGCATATATATATCGATACATGTATATATCAACCTCAAATTTAATTAGCTGTATGTTTTTACATTTTCTTTATTTCTTTTCCTGTCTTTTAGTCTGAATAATCTACACTAACTATAGGTTTTTATTATCTTTTCTTTTGTCGATAACACCGAATGACTAACTAGTGAAGGAATCAACTCCATTCACAGTAGTAGCACGGTTTTAACACACCGCATTCTACAAAAAACATATAACTAGTGCAAGCACCACTCCTTTTGAAGTCAACCAAAGCGTGGGCAGTCGAGTGGCGGGACGAACTACGCAGAAGTTCACTGAAAACCCGGAAACTAAACCTCACAACCAAGAAGCTAGCACGAAGGAATCAAATTGGTTTACACTATCCCATAAAAAACGAAATTGGATATGGGATAATCATCACCGCACAACTTCGAAAATTTCGTATTCGGAGTTCGTCTGTATCCGTTGTCACGTATTTTATCTCTCAGTTCACTATACTTTCTGCATTCAATTCTCGCTAACATAATTCAATGAGATTGCAAAACTTTCATAAGACATGGAAACCACACTGTACTCCAGCCATATTTTCATTTATTTTATTCGGTATACACTGCAGATAACTGCACTTGACTAGGGTTTAGAGCTGAAAAGACTTTGTCACCCACAGAGGAAGCGTTTCTGAATAAAATGAAAGGTTATAACATCAAGAGGTCACATTTGTTAAATTCTCATATTTGGTCCTTTATGTAGTGTGTTGGGATCACTCACTTTTCAAGGTCAAACCAAGGATTAATTATGAAACTGTAAACATACGCGTAGAACTTCCTGCTTCAGACGATTGAAGAACAACGGCTTAGAACTGTTCACACTAATCAATGAACACATCAGAGGGCTTAGTTCAACCGACAAGGAGTGACTTTAAAGAAAGTTGGTTGTCCCCTGAGATAGGTGAGAAAATTAGTCTGGTATGTTTTCTTCCGTATCATTATTTGCCTAGGTGCAAGAATGGATTAATGGTACAGGGCAAAAGTTGCTAGACTCTCAGACATCCAAGCCGTACAATTTTGAAGAAGCTTCGCAAATACGTAAAGCACATGAACAGTTCGAATTTAAGTGTATGGTTAGTTGCTACTGTCACTCTCATTTCTGTGTAGAAAGCTTTGGAAGTTTTCGCTGAGCTTTGTGACTACAGGAAACAAAGTAGCATCAACTTGGAGCTGAGTGAGCTGGACTACATGGTGCAGAGTTTTGTTGAGAAACTTAACAAAAGGACATTTTTTGTCGTTTCATGTTACACTTATTTTAGACTGGTTGAAGAAGTAATTTCAGTTTTAAAGCTTATATCTTTTAGCTGTGGTCAGTCTTGGAAGAGCTTCAAAAACGAGCCAAGGAGGTAGACACATATGATGGCTCATCTATCAAGAATGCCATTAGTGATTTAGAGAATGGGGTTGAAAAATGTGAGGTACGATTAAATGGATTGGCGCATGAACTGGAACGGCTCAGAATAATCTTGAAACCATCTGATCCTGATTATCTAGGACAGTTGGAAGATGGTTTCAGAGATGCCTGTCGAGCAGCTACTGAAGCTACGCAATCGCTTAAGATCCGAAAACTTGTGCTCAAGAAACACTCCAAAGTAGGTTAGAATTTCTTGAATATTTTAATAGTTATCCATTGTAAACTATCCTATTTTTTTACTTTGGAGGAGTATGCGGTATTCAGAGGTTTTTAAAAATTCTCTAAAGCAGTAGCATACAAATACTGACTGTGTGGTTTTTCTGTCCCATGCACTTCTTCCTTTCTTTTTTCCATAGACATTTATATGTTTTAAACCTGTTTTAAAACCTTCTTATTAGGATGAATGATATAAAAGTATTTCTAAAATGTTGCAACATTACTGCAGTGTTAGTGAATACAATTTTGATAAAGTATCCAGGGAAAGCATCAAGGTATTTGTGAAGAAAACATTTAAAATTCCTTATTATTATATAAGTCGACATTTCACTCTTGCATTCCACTATTCAAGATGAAGGGATATGTTATAAAGTTACAGTAATCTGTGTAACAATGGGGACAGCATTTTTAAAATGCATTAAAATGAACTTATCTAAAAGCAATGATATTTTCCTTTAAAATATGTTCATGCTCTTGGTGAAGATATATGCGTTTCATTGATTGTGATCTGAAAACATATTTAGGTTAGGCAAACGTTCCAATTTTCAAACCCTATAAATAGGTGCATATTTTTTGTCTTTATCAAAGACAAATTTCAAACACTCCAATCGTTATCTACAAAGATGAAACCATCTTGTAATTGTTGAAACAATTATGATGAAAACAAACAGGTAAATCGCGATTGATACCCATGAAGTTTCGAAAGGTGCGCTCATGCCTTTTTATGAGTAATTTTCTCCTTTTATAACCAGTATGATCTGTCCTTCAGTTTTCACTTCATTTTCATATCTCTGTGTTTTGGTTTTTTCTTCATATCATTTACTGGTTCAATACCAGTTGTTAATCCTTTCCTGATGAAGTGTCTCTGTAATACTTATGTAGATTTTCATGTGTCACCCACCACGTAGTCTTCTTGAGTTGATGAAGGTGACCTTCTAGTGTGCTGTCATAAAACTTGACTCAACTCTTTATCAAACTGTTTACAAAGATAAGTTTACTTATTGGTCTCTTGTTTCCTTTTAGTTAAATATTTTTTGACTTACACCTCTCTTATACTTTGAAAGACATCCCTTAGGTTTATTGACTGAAAGTTCCACTTAAGTTCGATAACTGAAACCATTGATTGGTAAAATGACATGAATTTCTTTGATTAGAGACTAGCCAGCAACTAGTCTAGTCCTTTGTTTGATGCAGGCTGAATTCTTGTTGGCACTCACCAGTTAGCCAGGCGTATCCGCAATCTTGAAAGAAGCTTATGTCCCTCCTGAGATTCGAACCTGTGTCACCCGATGCCGAAGTCACAGACGTCACCACTGACCTATTTGGGCACTTAACGAAGGACTAATCGCATGATACTGGTTAATAACTAGTGTCCAATAAAAATATCCAAAACAGTCCTACAGTAGGTCAGTCGCAATCCTGAATAGGTCAGTGGTAGCATCTGTGACAGCGACACTGTAGGGCACATGTTCGAGTCCCAGGAAGAATAGGACTTCCTCCAAAAACTGCTGGTACTTATTGCTGACTGATGAGTGCCGACATGCTCGAAATCTCGGTTGAAGGCTTCCTGGCGATTGCCTCCAACCATCTAACAGTATGAATTTCACTTAGTTTATGCTCAGATATATCAAGCATCATAATTATCATCACAACTTTAATCCTAAAGACAAAGGAGTGTTTATAATGAGGAAGTGAAAAGGGATCGTCCTTATGCGGAAGCCGTTTGTATCAATAAAAGTGTCCAATTAATTCGTGATGGCAAAGATAGCTTTGAAACGAAACTGTGAGGTAAATATAAAATTTTAAATTTTTGAATAACACGTCTAAGTCTTTGTCGTTACATTTTAGCTACTTATTCCTCGCAAGCACCTTTGTTTACTAGCCTCTATATTCTTTTTGAGTAAGGTGACTTGTAGGAACTTTTGTTAGTACTATAACTCTAGTTTTTGCTAAGGAATATAAAAGTGAAAGTTGCTGAAATTTAGAAAACGGTTTCCTTGATTGAATAGTGTATATGACTGAGTCTTATTTAGGTTAATGTATCATTTTGCGAATCAGTAAATTTAAACTTCGTATCTCTAAAATACTGATGAAAAGATAAAAAGGTTGGAAAGATAACTAGTTGTAAAACATTTGAACCATTGGACTCACAAGGATTCAAATCTGTTATTATATCCATAAGGCTCAGTAGTGCATTTTTCTATGTTTAAGAGGCAATATGTTTTTTTTCTGGAAAGGGTCTACCTGATAAATTAAGATGATCGTTTGTAGACAGAGTCATGTCTCCTTGAAACTTAATATTTTGTTGTCTTTTAAAATTATTTGGAACAAACTATACTTCTTTTCAGGCTAACTGTATTTGACATCCATAAGTCAAGCTAATAGTATTCACACATGTCAGGTGTTATGTCATTCGAAGGAAAGAAGTAATAATCTTCAATATTAGTCAGTCAGGTAATACCTGACTAAGATTGTTTAAATTGACATTTTGGTGAACAGATCATTATTGATGGGTCAAGTGATGCTTTAGTAGAACCTCTGGTTAACAGTTTCCACATTATCTTTTCCTAAACACGGACAAAACAGCAAAAGATAACCTTTAAATTGTGAAACTTCGGAGCTGGTTGGGGTTATCATTATTGTTTTATTATTATTTTCTATTCTGAAGCTGTGATTTTTCAGTAGGTGAGGTTGGTAGTCTCACGCTCGACCTTCCCCTCTTTACTGGGCTTACTACTGTCTAAGCTGGGTTTAGGAGTGTGTCGACTGGACGTCTATCTAGTACCACTGACCCGCTGACTCACGGGTGGTTGATATTTTATCGTCTACTAAATGCGTGATATAAAATTCGTATTCTTTCAAACTCGCACTCTGGTGTATAGTTATGTTTCTTTTAGACTATCGGTCTGAAAAGTTCCCACTGTTTTAATTAATTTTTCAACCTGTTAAGGTGTAATACTTTTGCTTAGTCACAAGTATGTGTTCAATTCATACAAATTTTCGTAATCATTGTAATTACGGTATACTGAAATTAAAGCATTTCCATGTTAATAAGGACAATTGTATAATTTTATATGTATATTGAGTTCATATTAGTGATGGTCATAATGGTGCATATTTATAACTTATAGAACTGAATGTTTAAATCGCACACCACCATTTGAGGGTCTTTATGAAAGGTGTTTTTATAGTTAAATCGGTTATTATCTTTAATGCTGCATTAGATGTGATAATTAGTATTTTCTATGATTGGTTTGTAAGGATTAGATTTGTTTTTACGAGTTGATCACGGATTGATATCAGTTAGAGAACCATTGAAAACCAGCACTGGAGTACTGGACAGCTGTTTCATCAGCCTAGTTTGGGAATCATCGGCAGTGCTCACTCACTGCCAGGGCTCAAACCCAGGACCTTCCGGTTACAAGCAAGCAAGCTCGTATACCATTCAGCCACTAGGACCCGATTCAATGGCCAGCCTTTGAATTCTAACTTGTACCAATTTAGCGCGACGTTAACCAATGGGCCATTGAATCGGGTCCCAGTGGCTGAATGGTATACGAGTTCGCCTTGTAACTGGAAGGTGTATACTGTCGATGATTCCCAACTAGGATGAAACAGCTGTCCAGTACTCCAGTGCTGGTTTTCAATGGTTCTCTAACTGATAATTAGTATATTATGAATAGCTACTTAATTGGCAATTCCTCCAGTCGAAACCATAATAACGATGACTTTTATTCAGTGTTTTCTTTTCTTTTTTTTAAATCGCCCACGGAGAGATGGTTCTCAAGCTTTCTGTCCTTTTGTATCTATCGACTGATTATATCAGGAATTATGAAACAATTCATGAAAAATTCACTTAATTAATTAATTTTCTTTTCCTTCACGTTCCTCAGTGGAACATAGGGCTTCAAGCTAGTGGCTTGAAGTTTCTGTAGCAGTGTTTATTTTACAGGATGGGGTTGCTAGCCTCATGCCCAACCTTTCCTCTTCACCAGCATTATTTCTGGCTTTGCGAGGTAAAGGAGTGCGTCGGCCGGGGATCGAACCCCGGACCATGTGCATGGTCGGCGAGCGTCCTAACCGCTATGCCACCTACACACAAATCTTCAGGTTAATGTCTCAATTTCTTATCAATGGTTATTTTTTCAGGAAAAGAGTATCATTAAAACACTCACAAACACTCAAAGGAATATGAAATGAACGAGAATTTGGACAGCTTTGTTCTTATGTACTTTAATTAGCCTAGTTACATGTGTCGTTACACTGTTTTGTTTGATTTTAGCTGACTATTATATTATATTTAGGAATGATCAGTAATTAGATAAAGTGATATGTTTATTATACGTTGAACACCAACTCGGCAATATGTGTGTAGCGTGGTGGTGGTGGTGTTGATGGTAGTCTGTAATACTACTACTAATAATAATAATTAGAATGTTTGGTATGCTGAATAGTACATTTTATACCTGTTGTTTTGTATTGAAATTAGCTTGTGTTTATTTGTAAAATATTTCTGAGAACTTGTTTTCTTTATTGTTTCTATGGTCTTAGGTGAAAATTCGATTGCACTTTTATTATCTTTATGTGAACAGCAGAATTTTGTAGTTGTTTATCTGTGTTATTGATTATTTGGTATGTAGTCTGGCAAACAGTTGTTAACATCCTACTCATGCTCTAGGTAGAGGGACTGGTATATAGATATTTTCATGAATTTATTAGATATTAACTGGATAGGTTTGACTGTATCGTAACAACTAGTTTGTCAAACCAGTCGATAAATATTGGAATTCCAATATAGAATTATTGCTTTCCTAGATGCCCTCCTGACAAGAAAGCCAGATGGTAGTATAAAAAGAAATTTGCATAAGATAAACCCATGGACAGGACAATATACACATTTTTATAGCTTCGTTCCTGTCCAGTACAAAAGAAATTTAGTAAGGCCCCTCAGCCACAGGGTAACAGCTATATTCTCAGAAGAGGTCAGTGAAGATGAACTAAGGATTGTATATAATACCTTGGTTGCGAATAGCTATGCCGACGAATTTATCAACAAACACATGACAAAGAAAAGGGAAAAGGACTACTCACTCACTATCCGTAAAGAAGAAGCCTTTATATTTACGACTGCAATTCAAGGACAATATTTTCTACACGACCGTTGATGATTCCCCAATTGAAAGATGAAGTACCTAGACTAGTTAGCCACTTCTAATTGTATCTGCCAATTCAACTGCGCTTTTGGTGCAGCTTCATGGCAAACCTCGAGAACGGCCCACTCAAATCAATTATTGATAATTTCCAGTCGTATACTAGAGACGTGGACGACATCTTTATTATCTGTGATGATGGTCACGATCTTAATCAGTTACTACAAATATTCAACAAATGCCATTCAGCTACAAAGTTCACCCTAGAAATTGAAAACGAATCTAAAATTCCTTTTCTTGATGTCGAACTTACAAGGAGAGCTGACTGAACTTTAAGAAGGTCCATACATAGTAACCCCACACGGAACGGCCAACAGACAAGCTTCTACAGCTGGGTACCAATCAGTCGAAAAAGAAACCTAATTAGATCTCTTGCTACTCACGTCCGACGCATCTGTAGCTCTGATAACCTGGAGCAAGAAGAACTACACTTCCTGAAAGAAATCTTCATACAAAATGGTTATCTACCAAGATTCATAGACATAAACATCAAACAGAAAATCCAGAAGCAAGAGACGCCATCCGTGCCAAAAAACATACTTTATATGAACCTCGACTTCAAAGGTGACCTACTCAGTGATGTCCTTAGGAAGATAATTTCCACTTCTTGAAGAAGAACTTTCTTCGCGGCAACATTGAGAGTAGTGTTTTCCAGTCGCCCGCATATCTGAAGAAGCCCAAAGGACAAGATCCCGCACCAGACCACTTTTATGTGTACATATCAGTTCACCTGATGCTGTGGAGCCACGTACATCGGTCGTTCGACGTGCATCCTGTCAAAAAGGGTCAAAGAACACTATCCAGCGTGTCTGCTGAAAGGAAGTGTTGGCCGTATAAGGAGCGCAATAATCGAATATCTCATCACCACTGGTAATTCCATCTCAACAAACGCCTCCTCCTTCAAAGTAATCTATAAAATGAAGAACAACCTGCCAAAGACAATATGTCTCCGTCTTCTTTGCGTTGCAGAAGCCCTAGCCATTCAGTTGGAAGAACTGTAAACAACCACTTCTACTATCATGGTGACAACTCTGTTGATTTGACTTAACTTTTGCTTGCATGCCTATTTTTCTAACTGCTTAAAACTCCTGCGTAATTCTGTATGTTATTTTGTTCCCATGTACACCCTGAGCACAACTCTTTCATCAAACTATTCATGTTATTATGTAACTCTTCTTTAACAATCGTTTGTGACAACTCATCACTTTTGTTACTACACTTGGATGTTTATATCAACATCCAATTCATCTGAACTCACTAATTGTATTTTCGTTTGACAAATTTAATGTACACACACATACAAAACAACCATATATATTTGCGATTGTACAGCTATGAAAATGAATTCGCTGTCGAAAAGAGACTCTTCGCTGAACTACTGGTCTTCTGTCTATTAATTTTTAAATGGGGAATTTTCATGCAATTATTTAATTCACGGAAAATACCCATCCAGACATGAATGTAAGAACAACAAAGTTCATCGAGAAGTCTCTTTTCGGAGGTAAATTCATTCTCTTATCTGTAAATTCGCATTTATTTATAATTATTTGTGTGTGTGTGTGTACATTAGGATTGTCAAACAGAAACAGAAATTAGTTCGGGTCATTGTTTACGTCATCAAAATGTTTCAAAAAATGTTATGAATCATCAAATTGTAACTACGGGGGGGTGAAAATTGGTAAGTATTGACAAGGGTTGCATAATATGAAATAGGATGTTAATGGAGACACGTGTTCAAAAAATTATGTAACAGGTAGAAAGAGTAAATAAAGGGTTGGTTAAGAATATAATGTTTCTAAGATGGCTTTCAAAAATTCAAAAAAAAACAACAACAGAAAACAAAACATTATTAACAAAGTCGAAGAACTTGGAATTATACCGAATGAAGAAGGAGGGGGTGGAGAAGTTACTTCTGTGTGCATAAATCAGGGTTTCTATCCAGATCACTAAGACCTCAGCAATGCAAAGTATATGGAAGCTTACCTTTTTTCAGGAGGCTACTTTTGACTTTGTAGATGACATTGAATGAATTCTCCGTCACATTTTGAGTGACCAGTGTTGAACATATGTTCAATTGTACCACTCTTTATTGATCCACTGTTACCTTTTATTGGCCAAGTAGGATAATGTTCTTTGACTCTTTTGGACAAAACACGCGTCGGACGACCTATATATCTTGCTCCACATTAGGAAGTTAATTGGTGGGTACACATAGAATTGATCAAACGCTGTATTTTATCTTTAGAGTTGTTGAAGAACAGTGGGCGGCTTGAGAATACTAATCGTATTGTAGCAGCAGGGAATGTTGTTTTTAGGGCGTTAGATATTCTCCTCTTTAAGATGTCGGTCAGAAGGTCGCCTTTGAACGCCACATTCATGTATAGTATCTTCTTCGGCACAGAGATGGTTTGTTCTTTGTTGATTTTCGGCTTTATTTATTTATCTATAAAGCGTGGTGGAGAGCCATTCGCAAATAATGTCTCTCTCAAAAGAGTTATCTCTTCTTCTATAGATTCGCGGCTGTAGAGTCTACGGATTCTAGTCACCAGAGGTATCATCAGACTCCGCTTGCGATTGATGGGTACCCAAGTGCAAAAGTTTGCCAACTGGCCGTTCCACGTAGGCCTTCGATATATCGATTTCTTTAGGGTACCATCAGTCTTTTTCGTTAGTCAGACGCCCAGAAATGAGATTGTCTCTCCGGTTTTTGTTTCAATTGTAAATTTGATGGCTGAATGGGAGCTATTAAAAACTTGAAGGACATTATTCAGGTCATATTTGTTACCACAGATGATAAAAATGTCATCAACGTAACTTTTGCACAGAGAGAAGTTGTCGATTGTCAGTTTCGTTACTTTATCAAAAGAAATGGCTTTGAAATGGCTACTATGTGATTTAAAGTAACATGTAACTTCTTTTGGTGTTGTATATGTGAGTAAAATGAACTGAAGGTAATGAGTGCCAAGCTGGATTTTAAATAAGTTGTACAAGAGACTCAGTGTATCGATAGTGGCTCCATTTTCTTCGACTTTATATATTACATCACAGTTTGACATCTTCCTGAATTACATCCAGTAGTATTGAACCCATTTTTCAAAACGTTTTTGTTATCTCATAAAAAAGTGATCCAAAAAATTGAACCATTATGGGTCATATCAGCGATTATTTATATTGGTTAGAGGATTTCACCATGAGTTGATATCAGTTGGAGAATTATTGGAAAACCTGCAGGGAATACTGGACAGTTGTTTCGTCCTAGTCTGAGACTCTTCAACAGTGTCAACCCACGAGGGTACTTGAAGATTATTATTTATATGCTTGTTTTTCCTATCATTCTAGTTACTTGAATGTGAAGAAAATGTTTATGAATCGATTGGTTGGATAGAAGAACTTTACGAAAACATTGAAGTTATGTACCAGGAAAATTGTGTTGGAAAAAATCAACTTGAATCAGAGGATCTTTTGAAAAAACATCATGATATTGATAATCAAGCAAAGGTGAGACTAAAAGTATCACTATCAGTTGACTTATATTCATTTCTTGATACTTTAAAAAATAAATTCTTATCTGATATTTATTCAATGAAATATTATTTAACTGTTTTCGGTTAACTCTAATGAGAAAACTTTGGTGAATAAAAGATAGTAGGTGTCAAATGATAATTTGTGTTGTGTTCATTCATTGTGATTAAATTAGGCTAATAGAATAAGTTAAAAAATATCCATTTTTAAGTGTTGGTTTGCAGAGATTCGATTTGATTGGTTTCAAAATTCCATCATGAACTGAAATCGGTTAGAGAATTATTGGAAAACCTGCAGGGAGTACCTCCAGACATCTGTTTCGTCAGCCTAGTTTGGGACTGGCTCGTCACTAGTACGCAACCACTGAGATTCAAACCCCAAATCTTCTGGTTACAAGGCGAGCGAGCTAGTAGACCAGAAGATTCTGGAGTTGAACCTTGTTGGCGGGTGTGTACTGATGAAGAGTCCGAAACTAGGCTGATGAAACAACTGGCTGTCCAGTACTCCCAGCTGGTTTTTCAATGGTCCTCTAACCGATGTCATTTCATGATGAAATCCTCTAGTATCATTTTGTTGATTATTTGAATGATGTATTCAGGAAGTGAGTGGTATTCACTTTTCTTCGTCTTTTACATTTTGTATTCATTCGAACAGACGTACATACAGAATGCAAAGGCATGTTAAACACACAGTAAAATGACTGAAATAAAAAAGAAACCCCAACTTAGATCATGACTTTTGTTTCAAGTTCTGATTGTGTCAGTACTAAGGTTATGTAACTATAAGTCCAGTATTGCAAGTAATTTAATAATGCTAAAAATATTTCTCCAGATCAATTTTTAGCATGGATAATTTCAACTTTACTCATATATATGTAAACCGGTTATCATTTTCCCTTTCTTTTTGTGTGACGGAATTGTGTTCAACTGAATAACTAACTAAATAACTCAAACAATGATATGATATTATGTGAAATGCAGCCTACTAAATTTACCAATGAGTAGTATATACGGATTGTAGGATACTTCTGAAAGTTATATTTCCCTAACAAATGATTAGTGGACGTAAATAACACGCTTAACAGTTTTTCCCAGTAGGAACTCTAGTTTTCAACTTTTCCACTGAATTGCTACACGTAGCTATCTTAGTGATAGTTTGATTCCTATAACAAAACTTATCATTGTGTGTGAACTATTGAAATATAATTATACTTTATGTTAGTGGTATTTAGTAAATAATGAGGAAAAAATGTTCAACAGTTTTTACAGAATAAAATACTACTATCCTTTGTTTATTTCGTTGGGTTCTCATCAACTGCTTGCTAACAGCCCAAAGACATTATTAAGTATATCTAAGGAAACAATTTTAACATACTTGCACAGAATTGATTTTTGAACAAAAAATCAACCAATCAATCAATATATGCATACAATGCTAATAATAATAATAATCATTTAATCTCAAACAGTAATAATCATACACAACGAAATCTTTCGGCGTTATGTAACCAGATGAAAGAGAGGATGAAAACATCCAGTTACCAGGCAGGGCAAGGAATGACTGATAACAACTTATTTCTGAACGCATAAATCGGGTATGAGACACTTGACGGAGATTGCTTCAGCAAATTTAAGGAGAATTGAACTCTTTTGCCTATTGATAATTTTGAACGATCTTCCGACGTCCATCTGATGACTCGTGTCAAGATGCCTGGCGATAACACTGTTTAAAGCATTTGTTCCCTACAGAAATAGGCTTTTTGGTACATATTCAGGAAATCGTAGGTATGCCCCTCTTTCTGTTCTTCCAATGTAACTGCTCCCACAGATACATGTAAATTTGTATATACAGTTGGAGTTAACATGAGAAGGATATCTATCGATTTTTGATTGCACTAAAGATCAAGTTGTTCGATAGACGGGGACGGGCTTAGCTTCAGGATAGGCTCTTGCTAGTGACGTACTCAGTCTTCTGTTGACCATTGCTGCAATGTTTTCACCTTTATAATCAAGCTGAATGTAGATTGGCTTTTTCCCCATTGTGATTTGTCTTACATTTGTGACTTCAGATCTTCCGTACCTGTTAATGAACCTTTGAGGGTAACCATTTCTCTTGAACATCTTTTCAAGAAACACAAATTAGACCTCTGATTTGTTTATAGAGCATATTCTCCTCGCTCTATAGTACAGAGTCTTGACTAGTCCACGTTTAAAGCTATTTGGACAAAAACTACTGAAATGTAGGTATTGTTCTTTCCAAGTGGGCTTACGATAAATTGACTTCTGAAGACTACCGTCTTCTAGGTGTTGCATGGTAATGTCGAGGAAATGGAACTTTCCATTATTGCCATGTCCCATAGTAAATTCAATATTTGTACGTGCATCATTGAATAGTCTGAGTAGGTAGGAAGCATGACTTTCATTGTTGCACACTACGAATATGTCATCGACATATCGATAATAATAAGTTTTTTCGTTGATTGGATGCTTCAACTTTCTTCTTTCAAGTTTGGACATGAAGATATCTGATAAAACGGGGCTAAATGGACTACCCATAGCTACACCATCTAGTTGATGGTAAAGAGTGTCGTCAAACTGGAATTGTACATCCATGGTACACATTAGCTGTGGGCGTTTGAATTTCGACTCTGCGAATGAGAGAAGATCAGAGTGTTGACAAATGATCTCGACAGCTACATTGATTGGGATCCTCGTGAACAAGGAGGTTGCATCAAACGACGCCATGAACTTATTTGAAACGTTCATGTGGTTCACACTTTCAGCAAGATGAAATAAGTCTTTCATGGTGTAAAAAACTAACAGTTGACAGATGGCTTTCAACTTTTCTGCAAGCCAACGAGCAGCCTTATAGTGAGACGAGTTGATCATCGAAAGTATAGGTCTTAGGGGGAATTGTTTTTTGTGTGTCTTTGGAAGGCCATACATGTGCAGCAAACAAGACCCTCGGGGTTTTAAATCATTGAAATTATTGTTGTCAATCAATTTTTTCTTTAGAAAGTCTCTCAATACGTTTGTGATGCGTTTTTTGCTTGCATGTTTGATTTTTTTGACAGTCGTCAACTTTAAACTTCAACGAGACATTTAACACAGTTTTCATCTTCATCTGTGTTATCCAGTTAAATTATATCTCAGATATCTGAACGTCAACACACACAACATCAGTGGTTCAAGACGTATTTATTCACAAATGAACTTTTGGAGTGTTTTAGGGATTGTTTGCCTCCATGTGCATGCATAATTTTTAACTTTGAATGGATGACGATGCACTTTCTTTAATAGCAAGAGTATTTCAAATGAAATTATGAGACTACTACAACCTTACGAAGTATATACAGACCCAAAAATTGATAACCTGACTTGAAAGATCCCATTCTCAAAGAGCAAGTTATACAAATTATAAACTATGCGATTTGAACCTACTAAGGTAAAGGTTTTAACTGAGAAAACTTTAGAATCATGAATTGAAAATATTTAGAGATGAACATAGAAACTTATAAAAAAACACAAACATGTTGTTCAGAATAAGTGACAACCAAACAACAGATAGCGCTGTGAATGTGAAGTTATGCACAGATGAAGATCGAACTTACGAGTAAAAAATGAAAGAAGAAAGTATAATTGCTACTGCTGACGCAACAATCAAAGCGACAGTTCTGGAATAGAAATTTAAAACAATATGAGCCAGGAGGATAATCATGATTGATCAGACAACCAACTTTATAGAAGATTCCTTATAGCTTGATAGATCTCTAGTAGATTTATGTATTTCGAATAGTTCATTCTTCACATAAACTGTTCATTACTGTATAAGAATTCTAATTGACTGCATGGAGGATTTCATCATTAGCTGACATCAGTTAGAGAACCACTGGAAAACCTGGGAGTACTGGACAGCTGTTTCTTCCTAGTTTGGGACTCTTTATCAGTACGCACCCACCGGGATTCGAACCCAGGATGGACCTTCTGGTTATAAGGCGAGCGAGCTCGTAGACCATTAAGCCACTGGGACCCGATCCAATGGCCCATGAATTCCCAGTGGCTTAATGGTCTACGAGCTCGCTCGCCTTATAACCAGAAGGTCCATCCTGGGTTCGAATCCCGGTGGGTGCGTACTGATAAAGAGTCCCAAACTAGGAAGAAACAGCTGTCCAGTACTCCCAGGTTTTCCAGTGGTTCTCTAACTGATATCAACTCATGATGAAATCCTCCATGCAATCAAACAAAATCCCTACAAAACCAATACTTGAAAATTCCAATTGAGTGATAAGAAAAAGAACACGTGAACGGCGAAGAAATTTTTTTCCGACGATTCATTTTCATAAACTGCTGTACAATTGTAGTTATATTTAACAAAGAAATCATTTGACCACCAGTCAGATACTGGTAAACTTTGTCCTCGAAAAATGTATTACTTAATATAAGATGTGATCTAGAAGGCATGACCAATTGTAAGTTAGAAAAGGGGGCAGAAGTTGGTATGACATAATAAGTGTAAGATGATGACTAATCCGTAAACTCATGTACAATGGACAGGAACTAGTGGAAAGACTATAAAGTGTTTTTATGTAAAATCTGTATGAAAAAGCAACCTTATTAATAAACAGCAACAGAGTGGTATTTCCAAGAGTTGTTGTGTAAGGATTAGATTTGTTTGCACGAGTTTGGCAACGGATTGATATCGTAAAACCTAATCTAAATCTCATAAACCAACTCTTGAAAATTAATCTGATGCTCGCTAGTGACTTGCTACAGGACGGAATTTCCTGGAGCTCTAGTGAGAAGTCATGACCAGTAAGGTCCATTTAATCGTGAGTGAGGATGGATCTCCCACCGATGACATTGGTTGATGGTCGCGCTGAAACAGATCACGAATTGGTAGAAGTTAGAATTCATGGGCTAGCCATTGAGGAGTCAGGTAGGTTCCTGTGGTTGAAAGGTATTCGAGCTTGCTTTGTA